TGGAGCTGCTTGAGGGGCTGTCTGCTGCTCCTGCACCGTGTGCTTCACCTGCCCCTTGTGTCCCGTTCCAGACTCTGACCCGGCTGCTGTCCCGAGCCAACCTGGCCAGGAGCACAGCCCTGCAAGCCCTGAGCGCCGGCAATGCCACCTTCTCCGAGGTGGAGCAGATCCTGAAGAGCCTTCGAGGTAACGTCCTGGAAACCCTTCCCCGTGGGGACCTGCTGCTGCTCCTGCACCGTGTGCTTCACCTGCCCCTTGTGTCCCGTTCCAGACTCTGACCCGGCTGCTGTCCCGAGCCAACCTGGCCAGGAGCACAGCCCTGCAAGCCCTGAGCGCCGGCAATGCCACCTTCTCCGAGGTGGAGCAGATCCTGAAGAGCCTTCGAGGTAACGTCCTGGAAACCCTTCCCCGTGGGGACCTGGCAAAGGTGGCCCAGCAGCATTTTCACCTGTGTTTCTTCCAGAGTTCATGCTCCAAGCAGATGACAAGAGAAGGGAAGCTGAAGATGCCATGAGGAGGCTGCCCACCATCAGCAGCGTGGTTACCAGGGCCAGGGAGAAGACAGACCGGGCTGAAGCCACCCTGGGCAGTGCAGCTTCTGAATCCAAGGCAGCCAGCAGTGCTGCAGAGGAAGCAAAGGACATCACCATGAGGATCCAGCAGGTGAGGGCCAGCCCTGGTGCTAGTCCTGGCAGAAAAGGGCTTGGAAGGAAAAAACAAGGAAGAAGAGGAGGTGGTTGGCAGCTTCAGAAGGTCTTGGTGGTGGGTCTGATGCGTTGACTTATTGGCTGATGTTTGTCTATAGTGGAACCTGCAGAGATACCAGAGGTGGCTGTAGCTGAGCTGAGGTGTCTGGGGATCTCTGTGCCTTGAGGATCCCCAGGGCACCCCTCTCTAGCCACTTTTTGGTGGCCAAGGGGCTTTTTCAGTTCCACCCTCTGAGGTGCTGGCAGGCTTGTGAGCTGCTGTCTTTGGGAGGGGTGGAACTGTAATGATAGAAACACCACTCTGGAGCACCTGGTGGGAGGCTGTGGAGGAGGCAGGAAAGCCTGCAATGATTCCCTGTCCCCGTGGAGGGAACCAGTTCCCTCCATCTCCACTTCCCAGAGCGCCCAGGCTGATTTCAGCCAGGCTCTGTCCCTCTGACAGTCCCTTTGCCCTCCCTAGGAGATCACAGGGCTGAGGATGGAGGCCAACAGGACAGCTGATGGTGTCCTTGCCCTGGAGAAGGCCGTGGCCTCCCTGCAGCGTGAGTCCAAGGGGCTGGATGGGGAATTTGAGAGGAAGTTCTCAGAGGTTGAGGCTGATGCTGCTGCTTTGGAGGAGGTGGGTCCCTCCCCTTGCCCCCTACCCTGTTGCATCGGGTGAGGATTTGCTTTGCAGCTGCTGCCTTCCCTTCTTCAGACAGCTCAGGAAGCTCAGAGGGTCCATGCCAAGGCTGGGGAGGCAGGAGTGGCCGTGCAGGAGACACTGAGTGCCCTGGAGGAGCTGCTGCGGCTGATGAGTAGGTTTTGTGCTGCTGCTCTAGGGTGTGGATGGAGACAGGTCCCCCCTGGTGTCTAGGCAGGGATGTGCTGGGAGCTGTGCAAGAACCTGCCTCAGGTGATGCCTGGAAACAGGCCAGGCAGGGGGGTGGAGATGGAGTATCTAGAAAGATCCAGTCCTCAGCCTCCATGAAAGGGTCCCTTCTTGTTTTCCTCCTGCACGACAGACCAGCCTGGTGCAGTGGATGAGGATGGCCTGAAGCAGCTTGAGAAGAATTTTAGCAGAGCCAAGAGCAGAAGCAAGCAGCTGAAGGATGAGGTGTTGGAGCTGGAGCAGACAGCTGCAGTGCAGAAGGCCCGGGTGCAGACCCTGGAGAGCAGCATTGATGAGATCCTGGTGGATATTAAGAACCTGGAGGACATCCAGAGGAGCCTTCCTTGGGGCTGCTACAACACAAAAGCCATCGAATTGCCATGAGGGAACTCTGGAATGGCTCCAGCACCTGCCAGGCTGTGCAGGCAGGAGAGCCTGGCCCAGCTGCCCTCCCCAAACCCAGCAGGACCAGCAGAACTTGGTTGTCTTGAACTGGCCCTGACCCTCAAGCCCAGCATGGCAGCTGAAGTCCCTGTCATCATGCTGGCCCTGGAGAGTCCCTGGCTTTGCAAAGAGGTCCGTCCCTGGGTCACAGGAAGGAGGAGATGCCTGGGTGCATGAAGGTGCTACTGACTGCATGACATCCCCTTCCTACAAGGTTTCTGAGGTGCAGATGGAGGTTGCTTGGTGTCAGCCTCAGGAGTTTTGCACAGTTCAGAGCCTGAAGTTCACAGCTGAGAGGTTCTCCATCCTCTGTGGATCCCCCTCTCCTGGCCTGGCACACACAGAAGGGCTGGAGCCTCAGCTCTTGCTTTTGACACTGTCCCCACCACCTCCTCACGTTCTCTGTGGGACCTGCCTCATCTTCAGTAGCTCAGGAGGCAGGGAGAGAGCAGCATGAAGTGGCAGCTGGGGAAAATGAGCTCGGGCCTGTGATACCAAGTGATGCTTCATGTGGCTTTCTGCTCCCAGCCTGCCCAGTGCTCACCTCAGTGGGGTTGGTGCTGGCATGGCTTTCTGTGGCTTGGAGAGCCAGCACCAGGTGCTGCTGCCTCTTCTCTTCAAGCTGCAAGTCTTCCTTGGTGCTTCTCAGCGAGGTGGTTACTGCTAAAGGGAAAAAGGATACAGATGTCAACTGGTTTTGAGCTCAGGGAGACGTGCTGGGAGGAGGAAGAAGGGTTAGCAGATTAGCAGAGGAGGAGAGAACTGCTGAAGCTTCTCAGCTGCCAGGTTGGATGGGGCTTGGAGCAGCCTGGGCTGGTGGGAGGTGTCCCTGCCCATGCAGGGGGGTTGGGACTGGATGATATTTGAGGTCCCTTCCAACCCAAACCAGTCTTCTGTGATTTTAAGTAGAAAGATTATCCTGCTCCACCTGCTCCCTTCAGCCAGGAAGGCCCCCTTCCTTTCTCCCACACTTCTTCCTGAGCCCCAAAGCCCCTGAGGGATGGCTTTCTTGTCAAAATTCCTCCTGGGCAGTCATGGGTCTCCCTACCATCCCCTGACACTCTGAAGCCCAACCTTTCCGAGGCCACTCAGTTGGGTACCAGGCTGCTTCCTGGGGGTCTCAGAGCCTGGGAAGAACCAGGTGGTGTCTCCTCCATTAAAAAAAAAATACTTTGTCTTGAAAGTGTCTCCACCTCTTCCTTGGTGCTGCCCGTTTTCCTCTTCCTCCCACCTGGTGCTGGGTGTTTCTCAGAGGCTCAAGCAATGGTCTGCAGGGTTTCCCACCCTGTGCCTGAGCAGTGCTTGGAGGAGCTGAAGGCCACAGTGCTCCCCTCACCCCCCTGTGGTTTTCCTGTGGGTCTAGATCCAGCCTGACACTGCTCCCAGCTTTCTTTAGATGCCATTTCAGGGGCAAAAAAAAAACCCACAGCAGATGCTGGAAGTCAACTCCACTGAAACCTCCCGACCTTGTGTGGTGGTGAAAGAAGATGAAGACACTTTGGGGGACGTGCCCACCCCTTGCTGGCTCTGATTTCCTGGTGCTCTTGCTTCATGAGGACAGCCCAGGTTCTTCATCTGCCTTCTGCTTCTCTTTAATGAGAGGTGTGATTGTCCCTGGTGTGTCTTCCTCCTCCCATTGTACAGTGCAGGGACAGTCCTTCTGGGCCTGACCAGTATTTTTCCACAAGTTGGGTTTTGTGAAAGGCAGAAGGTCAATAAATAAATAAATTCTCTTGCCTACTGATTGATTTTTTTCTCCAGCTCCCCACTGGGGGTGAGTTTGGTTCTCCCAGCATCTTTTCCTGCCCCTCTTGGGGCTCTTTTGAAATGACACCAACAACATCATTTTGTTTTGGTTTCTTTATTACATAATTTAAACATTTTGCTGATAAAGATTTTTTTTCTTCTGTCAATGAACGTTTTGATTTTTTTTTTTCCATTGAGCAACAGAAGAGAAAACAAAAATAATCATTAGGCTCCAAAACTTCTGACAAAGGTGAAATTGGTGGCGTGGAAACTTCTAACCCCTTCCCTCCCCCCCTGCTACTCTATTTTTTTTCCCCAGAGGACATTTCTGGAAGTTTGTTTCTCTTTAGCAAATAGCACTGGTTAAAAGTGGAAGTTCAAAGACCAAAACCCAAGAGCTTCCTCCCACCCCTCCCCTGCAAACCCCCCTCCTCACCCCCCTGACAGTCACATGGACCTTCAGGAATGGTTGATTTCTCTGATTGTTTTTTTTTACACACCCACCCAAAGACGTTTTTCCAAGCCAACCCTGGAGCTGAGCTGTGTTACAAAGCCCCCTCCCCACCCCCCTCCCTGTGCTGTGAGCTTTACTGAGCAGGCAGAGGGGCAGGTAGGACAGAGCATCCCTCCCTAAGGCCTGCTGTCCTAACTCTGGTGGGATGGGATGGGAAGCAACCCCTGCATCCCATCTGGGTACCTGAGGGAAGATCTGAGCTGGTCCCCCAATGTGCCACCTGTCTTCCTTCCCCACCTTCTTTGTTTTATACCCCTTTGTCTGTTCCTCAGTTAAAACCCACCTTCCTTCCTCCCCCTTCCAAGAGGCTTCACCCCCCTGGGAGGTTGAAAACCCTCCTGTGTGTGTTTTAGGGGCTGGTTGCTCCCATTGCTGCTTCTCCTCCAGCTTGGGGCATGGGTGGTGCCTGGCAAGGAGAGGAGTTTGCTGCCTGAAATACCTTCTGTGTTGGGGTGGAGAGGGAGGAGAGGCTGAAAAATGCATGCAAGAGGGATGGATGGAGCCCAGCTCCTGCTGGGGGGTCTTATGGATGAGATGTCCCACCCTGGGCACCTGCCCTGCCTGTTGGCTGAGGGAGCTCAGTGGGGTGTTTGGTGAGCAGCTCAGCCTGGCTGGTGACAGCCCTGAAGAAGAGGCCCCCCTGCACACCAAGGCCTGCACAATTCCTCCTCCATCCTCTCTGCTTTGCTGTCCCTGTGTCTCCCCCACCCCCATGGGCTACATTTGCAACTGCCTGGAGACACCAGAGCTGGAGCTGAGGGACTCAGCTGCTGGGTTTGAACAGGGCCCCAGCAAGCCCCTCCATGTGGAGGCAAATCCTGAGAAAGGAAATACCTCTTCTGGCCTTTGGGCAAGTCAGGTCACCTCTCTCTCCTGCTTTTCCTTCTGGGAAGCAGTGATGTCCTCCTTGAGGAGCCCTAAAGCCCTACCAGCTCTGTGGGCCACCTTGTGTTGCCCAAAGATTCTTGCAGCTACAGAGATGCCAGCAGCATCCTGCAGGTCACCACATTCAGCTCCCACCAGAGCAGCCCATGATCCTTTTTGTAGATGCTAAAGGCAAACAAAAAAAGGTAATTTCAGATATTTTTTTTTCCCTGAGACACCCTGGAGGACTCCAGCCCTGGGGGTTGCAATTGGATGATCTTTAAGGACCCTTTGCAAACTGAACCACACTATGAGTCTCTCTTCAGGTGTCTCAGCCCAACGTTGTCCCTCGATGGGGACCAGCAGCTCTTCCTAGGAAAGCTGCCAAGCCAGCCCAGGCAGGGGTTGTGTGTTGGGCAGGGTTCTAACCTGCTCCTAGTTAGCCCATCTGTGGGCAGGTGTCCAGAACCTGTAGACAGTAGAGCTCAACCCAAGGTCAGATGGAGCGAAAGGAGAGGAGCAAAGCAGGACATGACCTTCCTCCTTGTGGCTGTGACCTCTCCCAGGGGCTGTGGAGGGTCCTTGCACCCTGTGGGGTTTGCTCAGCAGGACAACAGGCCCCTGCAGCAACTCTCCTCCCCACAGCACTTCAGTCACTTCCTTTTGTTCCATGTTCCCTGCTGGGGGTTCAAGGTGAGCATCTCCAGCAGGATCCTTCCCTGGCACCAGGGGGAATGTCACAGGCAGGAGAGAAGGAGCCTGGCTGGGTCCAGGGGGTGTGGGAAGCAGCCACAGGTGGTTTGGAAAGGGGAAAGTCTCATGCATTTAATAAACTCTTTGAGGAGAGGAAGAGGGGAGGAGCAGAGGGAGAAAGGGTAGATTTACAGGCAAAAGTGCCCATCTGGAGGCTAGAGGATGGGGATGGAGCCACCCCCTGTGAAGCTCAGCCAGGTTTGAGGCAGCTCCTCAGAGGGTCATGACCTGGTCCTTCCTCCCTTGTTTCTTGACCTCATAAATAGCAGGGCCCTTTCCAGGAGCTGTGGGCAGCCCCCTCCAACACTGGGTTGGAGCAGAGCACCACCTCAGCTCTGCTTGCCTACAGGATGGCTCTGGGGGGGGTTGGGTTCACTTGAAGCCAAGGAAAGATGGGAGATGAGGGTGTTGAGATACTGGCCCAGGTTGTCCAAGGAAGCTGTGGATGCTCCACATCTGGAAGCACTCAAGGCCAGGTTGGATGGGGCTTAGAACTACCAGGTCTAGTGGAAGTGTCCCTGCCCATGATGAGGATCTTTTAGGTCCCTTTCAACCCAAACCTGTCTGTGATTCTGTGATTCCATGTCATGTCCCCCCCAGCAATGCCCTGGCAGCAACGCTTGCCAAGGCCTTGCTCCCCTTCAGAAATGCCCTCTCCTGGATTTTTCAGGGCCAGGAGGAGGATTTGGCTACCCGGGCTGTCCTCCTGCTGGCCTGAGGAGGTCCACACGCTGTGGTGCACCAAGGGTTACAACTGCCTGCTGCCCAACCAGGGGGTTTAGTCATGGTGTTGGGAGCTCCAAAGGGCTCAGGCTAAAACTATTAAAAAACAAAAAAAAAACCAAAGTCCCTCTAGATTTATTTAGCTTGGGTACCATCAGGTGGGGCAGAAGAGGAAGCCCCTGCTCTGAGCATGCTGGGAGGATGGACCAGGGGGACCATTTCCCTGTGACATGCTGGGAGAAGGGGTCCTGGAGTTGTCTCCCTCGAGCCCACCAAGCACGTTGCCCTTTCACTGGTCCCCCAACTCCCTCCCCACCTAAGAGGGGCAGGGCAGTTCCCCACCAAGAGAGACCAAGCTGTTCCCCTGGGGCTCCCCAGGCATGGCTGCATGATGGGGTGCTGGGGTGGGGGGAGAGGCAGACACAGGCAGGAGACACGGGGATGGGGAGAGAGATGGAGACACAGACTGAGAGAGAGAGGGGGAGAAAAGAGTGATGGAGAGCTGCAGGCAGGCAGGGCAGGAGGGCTGTCTGGCTGCAGGGCCCCTGGCTCTTAGCCAGAGGTGTTGATGTAGAGCTGACTCTTGAGGATGTAGTCGATGACGGGCTGGCAGAGATAATCCACGACGTGTCCATCCCCATGCTGCAGGGCCAGTCTGGGGGCAGGGGTGGAGAGAGAGGGGGTCAGAGGCTGCCTGGGTGGCACTTTGGTGTCCACAGGAATGGAGGGGCTGGCTATCCCATCTCCCTGCCTTGCAGGAGTCACCCTGCGTCACCCACCTGCTTTTGGTGGAGCTGACAACCGACATGGGGTGGTTTGAGTCGTCCTTCACCACCAGGATGTTGTTCTGTGGAGGAAGGAGGGGGAGAGAAGGGTTGGCCCAAAAGCTGGCTGCTGCATTGGTGCTGCTGTTCCTCAGACCACCCACCAGCTGGGACCATCTGGCCTTGAGACATTGGTACCAGCACCAGTGCAGCACCAGGGCAGGGACCAGCCTGTGCTCAGCACTTGTGAGTCCCCACCTCAAATCCTGGGGTCAGATCTGGGCCCCTCATGATAAGAAGGACATTGAGAGGCTGGAGGGTGCTCAGAGAAGGGCAAGGGAGCTGGGGAAGGGGCTGGAGAGCAAGTGTGATGAGGAGCAGCTGAGGGAGCTGGGGGTGTTTGGTCTGGAGCAAGGGAGGCTGAGGGAGAAGTTCTCACTCTCCACAACTCCCTGACAGGAGGTTGGAGGGAGAGGGGGTTGATTCCTGGTCTCTTCTCCCCAGTGACAAGTGACAGGACAAGAGGAAACAGCCTTAGGTTGTGCCAGGGAAGGTTTAGATCAGATGCAGGGACCAATTTCTTCACAGGGCTGTCAGGCCCTGGCACAGGCTGCCCAGGGCAGGGGGGGAGTCACCATTGAGATGTGGTACTGAGGGACGTGCTTTAGTGGTGTCCTTGGCAGTGCTGGGCTTGATGGTCTTAAAAACAATTCCATGATGCTGTGCCCCATGGCCCAAGTGCTCCCATGGGTCAGGAGGGTCCTCACACCCTTCCCTGGCCAGACCTGCACCCACTCACCTTGTACTTGCGGAGCAGGGAGGAGTGGTTCATGATCCGGTCGGGATCTGCTCCATCCCGGGGCACCACCACGATCCCAAACTCCCCAACAATCACCTCCATCTAGGAGCAACCCAAAAGAGGAAGAGTTTTTTTGTACCCAAAACCTGCCACCATCTGCCAACCCCCTCCCCCCAGTGTCATGCAAGCTGAGCCCCGGGCTGGATGGAGGCAGGAGCTGAACTTGGGGCTGCCCAGACAGTCTTAGGCCAAACCTTGGACCCAGCAAGGTGTTGTGAGTGGTCTGTGGTGAGCAAAATAAAAAGGCAGGGGGGTTCAATCCTATCAATAGGCGCTGAGGTTACGTTGTAGGGAGGGCTTGTTGTGGTAGGAAGAAGGTGGCAGGAGAGGTGGCCCAAGGAGGACATCAGCCCTGCCTCGCTGGAAGGGCTTTTGCAGGCAGGAGGGACGTTCCTGACAGGGCTCCTGAGGGTTCTGCCCTGGGAAGAGGGGCAGGGAAAACCCGACTTTGTGCCAAGGCTGGTGGCCAAGTCTGGGGGACATCCCACAAGAGGGGGATGGGTCCCACTGCCTCACCCATCTCAGGGCAAACCAGGCCCACCCAAAGAACACGAGGTCAGCAGGTTTTGTTTATTTAAGCTACTGATCTGGCTGGAAAGGTGTTTAATTTCTCACCTCAGGCCAACTTTTATAAACCTCTTATCTCACACCTCACTCTGCTGGGACTTGTGTCTACTTGATGCTGACTCCTTCCATTAGACAGGGAGTGGGACCACAGCTTTTGGAGATCCCTTGGGACCGGCTTCCTGGGACCTGGGTTCTGTTCTCAGTGCACATGGTGAGGGGGACCAGGGCTGGGGAAGGGGAGGCTGGGCAGGGCTGTTGAGTGAGGAGCAGGAGACCTTGTCCCTCAGACTACCTGTGTATGGGGGAGGTCAGGGTTGGGATGGAGAAGGAGATGGGGATGGAGTAGGAGGTGGGAATGGTGGGTGTGACTCCTGGCATCCTGAGCTCCCAGGAGTGCTGCATCTGGGAAGCAGAAGAGGAGGAGGAGGAGGAGGAGGAGGAGGAGGAAGGGAGCCTGGCAAAGTGGAGGAGCACACAGGGTGCCCCAGCAGTGTTGACTCACATCAGCCTCATTCCAAAGGCCAGGGATGCAGAAGGACTCCAGCAGGTCACTGCCACACAGCAGTAAGATACGAAGCTCTGAAGGAAAGAAGCAGAGAAGGTCAGAGGTGGGAGGGAAAGGAGCTGAGCAGATCCCCCCATCACCACCATCTGGCTGCACTGCTTGTGGGGAACCTCCTCCCCACAGACCTTCCCTGCCCAAAGGAGCCCTGCTAAGGGAGTGTGGTCCTTCTTGCTTCCCTACAGGTGCCAAACATCACACACCCCCACCCACCACATTTCAGGTCCTCTCCTGTGCTGCTGGGCTGTTCTCAGAGAGTCCTGGGGACTGGCCACAGCCATGTTTGCTTCAGCCAAGCTGGTCAAGAAGCACCAGAGGTTTTGCTTGCACAACTTGGAGGACTTCCATGTCTTCCTGTTCTCTCCCTGGGACAGGACTGGTGCTTGCTGGGAGCCTGCTTTGAGAGTTGGCCTCACTGCTCAGTAAGGAGGTTGTGCTGCAGGTAGGAGCTTTCTGCTCCAGCAGGCTGGTGAGGATGAATCTATCTGCACAAGCACAGGAGGAAAGCCCTGAACCTGCCTGAAGGAGCTCACAAGAAAGCTGGGAAGAACTTTTCACAAGAGCATGTAGGGATAGGACAAAGGGGGGTGGCTTTAAAGTGGGAGGTGGGAAATCCAGGTTAGACCTTAGGAAGAAATTCTTCACTGTCAGGGTGTTGAAGGCCAAGTTGCCCAGAGAAGCTGTGGCTGTTCCACCCCTGGAAGTGTTCAAGGCCAGGTTGGATGGGGCTTGGAGCAACCTGTGCAGGCCCAGAGGAGCCAGAGCAACGTGGAAGGAGCTGCACACTCACCGATCTCCTCGTATCTCATCACCGTCCCCAGGTTGGCGTTCTCATCTGGGGGAGGGAAGCAAGAGGAAGATGTTGGTGTCCAGCCTGGGCAAGGGGGATGGGAGGAAGGCTTGGGGCTGGTGCTAGAGCCCAGGCAGAGCTGGGACTTCCCTCTACATACCCACGAAGGTGAAGCGCTCCATGGGCGGGCGAACGCAGCAGATGCGGCTCAGGCTCTCCCCAACCTTCCCCAGGATCTTTGCTGAGGGTGGAGAAGAAGGAAAATGAACCAGGGAGGTGAGGATGCCCTGGCACGTGAGAGCTTTGGACACCCTGGTCCTGTGAGATCCTCCTGGGCAGGAGCTGCTCTCAGCATCTCCCACTCGTGGTGTGAACTCCTAAGGGTGCTAATTTTGGTGGGATTTCAGTAATGCCCCCACGTCTCCTCAGCTGATACCTCCATGTCCCACATCCTGCTGGCTCAAGGGGGGGACCCAGCCACGTCACCCATCCAGCTGATCCCTCTCACACCCTTTTCTCTGACCTGCTGGACACGACCCAGCTCCGTGTGGGTGAGATTTCCCAGCCGCTTTGAGCCCTTCTTGGCTCCCCTTGCTGTGCTGGATGTCACCTCCTCCCATGCATCTCCACCTGACCTTGGGCTTCCTGCAGGGAGCCAGACGAGTGACCTGACCCAAAGATCAGGTGATGGACCCAAAAATCAGGTTCCTAAGAGGTTGGTTCCCTGTCCTGCTGCCACCTACCCGCCGTGGGCTTGTTGGAGACGTTGGTGTTGTTGTTCTGGTAGATGGTCTGCGAGGGCTCGTTCTGGGGTTGGCCAATCACTGGGGTGATGGAGGGGGTGTTGACGTTGGAGAGGATGCAGCCAGTCACTCTCTGCAACAAGGGAGAGGTGTGGCTGCAGCAGTGCCCTCGTGCCAGCTGCCTCCCAGCACCTTCACGACCTTCAGAGTGAGTCCCCCAGCCCAGGCTGAAGATCATCCTCAGTGACAGGTACCCCCAGGCTCACCTTAAGGACCCAAATCCCACCCCAGCCCACCAGCTGAGCCTGGAGCTGCATGACCCCGTGGATAATGACCCGTGATGAAGGCTGGGGACAATGGGATTAGCTTTTTAGGTGGAGCCATGAGGCTGGCAAGGCTGCAGCTGTGCTGCCTCTGGGCACTCATTGCCCTCAGGTGCTCAAAAATCCTGATGAATAAATATAAACACAGTGGCTGATCGACCAGTGGGGCAAAGCCAGTGCCCCACAGCTTGTCCTGGGGGGCCAAACACCCCCTTGACTCCTTCAGCAGTCCCTCCAGCAGAAGGTCAGCATCACTGGCTTTGACACCATGGTTCTCCAGCTCCACAGCGTGGTCCCCAGCTCCACCAGGCATCCTGCTGGTCAACTTTGGGCTTCCTAGGGGTTGGGTTGGGTTCCCACCCTTGGGCTGGCAGCAGCCCTTCCCTCCCCACCCCTGAGGTCACCCAGGGGCAGCCACCTTCCTTTTTTTTTGGCCTTCAGGTCTGCCTGGGCTTTGGAGAGACTTCTCCTCCTGGCTTTTGTGCTCCCCAGGGACTTCCCAGCTGCTGAACTTGCCCACCTTGCTGAGCTGCTCCACTGGGCTCCTGCAGCACTTCAGGAGCTGGAAGTGGCTGTGACCAGGTATCCCTTCAGGATTTGAGGTCTGTTCCTGCAAGTCTGTCTGTCCCTGCCATGGTTTGGTCCCTGGTGTCCGTGGGGGTGGAAGAGCAGCCCTGCTCCTGCCCCCCCTGTGTCCCCCCCAAGCACGGGGGCTGCCTCACCTTCATCAGGTCACGGTGGTGCTCCAGCACACTGCAGGTGGTCTGCCAGGTGTCCTGGTAGCACTCCCAAGGGTCCACCCTGCAGGAAGCACAGTGAGGCAACAGAGTTGGCCAGTGGCCACTGCCTGGACCTCCTGGCCATGCTCCTCCTGGCTGGGCTGGCCAGCAACACCAGGAGCAGCCACCCCCACCTCTCCATGGACTTTGTCCTGCCTCCAGCCCTTCCACCCAGCACTCCTAAATGGCTCTGGGGACCTGGACATGCTCCTGGAGACCTTTCTTCTCTCGGCACCCAACCAGCCAGTTTTCCTTTGGCTTGGAGGCATCTACATGTGTTATGACCCTTCTTCCCGAGGGCACGTTTCTGGTCCCAGCTCAGCCACCAGACACTCCAGGGCAGTGCTGGGAAGAGGAGAGCCCGTGGGCTGGTGCTGCAGGTGTGGAAAGGGAAGGTGCCACGGCTCAAGACCATGGTGGGCTGGGTGAACAGGGGCTTGCAAACCCCCATGAGGTCACACCACCCTTGAGGGGTGTAACACCTCTCCCCAGGTCCCTGCTGGGTGGGGAGAGGAAGGGCTCCCAGGCTTTGGCTGGGAGAGGAGAAAGCCCATCCTGGAGCTCCAACTGATGCTGGTGGCATCTCCCCTTGGCAGGTGGGGGGTGGTGCAGGGGGTGCAGGCTGTGGGACTCACCTGATCCAGTCGGAGGACTGCACAGCCAGCTGGCACATGGTCAGGCGGTGCCTGCTGGACACCAGGCCCTGCAAGAGAGGGGGTGGAGGGACAGTCATGGTGGGCAGGCAAGTGTCCTGCCCTGCCCAGCCTGGCCTTGCAAACCTGCCCAGGGCAGAGCACCAGGCTGGCTCAGGTGAGACAGGCCAGCAAGATTCATTCCTGCCAAAAAAAAAAAGGTGATTTCAGCTCCTCTTTGCCAGGGCAGAGCAGGCCCTGCCTTGCTTCAGCCTCAGCCCTGCCATGCCCAGCCCCTGCTGAAGGGATGGTGGGTTCCTGAGGAGGTTCCTCCAGCCTGGGGCAGAGGAGGGAACTCTCTCCTCATTCAGCCAACCCCTCCACCCCAGAGAGTGCATGGAAAGGTTCCCGTCCGCATCAGCATCCCCACGATGGAATTAGCTTTGAAAGCATTCAAAGAAGAAAAAAAACCAAACCCCTAACCTAACCAGATGCCCACCCCCCTGGTGGGGGAGACCATCCCCCTGAGGGGAGAGGGTTTCTCTTTGCTGGGGGGGTTTCTCTTTGCTGCCTGCAGCTGGGCTGGTTGCGGGGTCTTGCTGCACTTTCTGTGCAAACACGGAGCGGTTTCCTCTTCTCCCTCCTCTCAGGGACCTGCTGTCCTGAGCAGGGGGAGGGGGTCCATGAGAGAACCAGTGCTCAGCCCTGCCTCGAGACACCCTCAGAGAGAGGCAGCAGCAAGGGGCAAGGGGGACAGACCCACCGTCTTCCCATAGGAGTCGTGCACAGGTGAGACGATGCCCCCGATCACGATGAAGCGCCCGGTCTTGTGCAGGTAATCCCGGGCTCGCTCTGGGAAGGAGGAGGAGGAGGAGGATTCAGAGACATGCAGCCTGACCCACAGACCCCACCGAGCCCCTCTGCCACCCACCAGCCCTGCCCGATGCCTGTGGAGGGGCTCATCCCACCGGGTGGGGATGGGGATGAAGGGAAGGGCTGCCCGGCTCGTCCTTACGCCAACATGAGGCTGTTGGGTTGGAAGGGAAAGGGCTGGTTTATTTTCTGATGTCAGTTGCATCTGCTCCAGGCAGCTCCACGGGGCTTTCAAACCCTGTTGCCACAAACGAGCTCCCAGTGGTGGGTCCTGCCAAGACACACATTAGCCCACAGGCTGCCTGCTTTGGGGGGTGAGGAGCTTTTAGCTGCGGTTCCCCGGCTCTGTGCCTGGCCTGGTGGCTGATCTGAGCCTTGCTACACTGGGGAGGGACAAGGGTGACACCTGGGAGCCTTCCCAAGTGCTAGTGACACCTCCCTGCAGCCCCAGGCCAGCTCTCCTCACCTCCCCTGCAAACGAGCTTCAAAGGTTCTTGGCTCTATCATTTCCCTGTGAGACGATGATGGTGGGAAACAGACCAAAGGATCTGCTCCAGGACCTTCAAAATGGTGAGTGATGGTTTTGTCCAGATTGCATCAAAAAATAGCATCTGGCTGCCCCAGTGGGGAGTCAGTGGCTGTTTAGGAGATGTTTCTTTTTGGTGAGTCTCACTGAGCACATCCAATCACAAGGTGCTGCTCTGGCACTTGCGCCATCACCCCGACTGATGTTTCAGGTTTTCAGGGTGTAATTTCAACCAGGGGTTGCTTTGCCTTTTGAGCCAGTTTGTCCACGCCCCTGAGACTCCCTTTTTTCCCTTTTTTTTCCCCTCCCTATGGAGCAAAACCCCTGGCTGAATGTGCCTGATGCCCTGGTACCCAGGGGGGTGGGCACTGCTCTGCACCTGCCCTCTGAAAACAACACGCACGGGGGAGCAGGGAGGGAGGGAAGTTCTGTGTGGTCCTAATTGCTCCTCCCTAAGAGCTGTGGCATGACCAGGAGTGATGGAGAAGGCCTTTCCTGCCTGTCTCATTCTTCTGAGCAATTTGGCCTCCAGCATCCTCAGCTGGGAGGTGGGCTGGGGCCATCAGGTGCCAAGGGCAGGGCAGGCATTTTCCTGCTGCCTGAAACACCTTCTCCTGCAGGGCTGGGTGACCCAGATATGCCAGCAGCCTTTGGTTTATTCTCAAGCTACCAGCAGGACCTAAATCACAGCATTACAGACTGGTTTGGGTTGGAAGGCACCCAAAAGATCATCCAGTCCCACCCCCCTGCATGGGCAGGGACACCTCCCACCAGCCCAGGCTGCTCCAAGCCCCATCCAACCTGCCCTTCAACACTGCCAGGGATGGAGCAGCCACAGCTTCCCTGGGTAACCAGGGCCTCACCACCCTCACAGTGAAGAATTCCTTCCCAACATCTAACCTAAATCTCAAATGTTGCTCCCTACTCTGAGCTCAACTTGGGCAAGGAGCCAGGAGAGGTTCTAAGTCTAGTTGAGTGGTGTGTGTAGTTCTATATTTATGTATATATATAGATATCAAACTCCAAATGCCAAACAAGGGATGTATTCATCACCAACGTGCTCAGTTCTGCCCCAGGGCCACTTTCTCTGCCCCAGCTGCCATCTCCACCCACCCATGGCCTACAGCCACACCATGGTTTGAGCTGGGGATACCACTGGCATCTCCATTTCCTGGACTTCCTGGAGGGAAAAGGCAACATTTCTACTAGAAAAACAAGCCCTGAGCACCCTTCAAAGCAGGTTTCTCTTTTGGGAAGAAGCAGGAGGAGGGGGCAGAGCATGGTTGGGTGTTGTGGTGGTGGTACCCTTCCCAAGAAATGCCAGGGGAGACCCCAGTGTGTCCCACTGACCCAAACAGCCTGTCCTTCCTGGAGCTCAGTGCCCCTCAGACAATCTCAGTCAGGTTCCCAGGAGATTTTTGGTTGGCAGAAATATTCCATTAAACCCTGTGATGCTTAATGAGTTTCACCTCTGAGCTAATTGCTCTGTTACACCTTCTCCCCCCACCCCATTATTCCATAGCTCCAGGAAGGCCTTGTGGAAATTAACATTTGGAAGGAACTTTCACACTAGGCAGCTCCAGGCAGGGCTGCAAATCTGCTTCCATGGCTTTTCAGGAGCATGAAAAAGCAGTGGCCACCAAATACCTGGGAATTCATAGTGGAAGCAGAGCTATGAAAGGTGCCAGAGAAGTGATGGTGCATCACCTGGCCCTGACCCTCCCACCTCACCAGTGTCCAGCACAAAGAGCCACCTGAGTGAAGACTGATGAGGCTCAGGCTTTCACCATCTGTTGGTCACTCAGAGCTTCACGGCAGAAAAGTGAAATGAGCTGCTTAAAACAAAGCAACAAGGAAGGCTGAGGACAGTGAGCTGACCTGGAAACAGCAGGAGGTCTGATGGAGGCCTATCAAGACCCAAGGAGATGGTACCTGCCTGGTCCCAGGTGATCAGGTTCCTTAAAGCTGTAGAAGACCAGCCTATTTGATATCATCAACACTGAAATTTAAATTGAAGACATCCTATTTTGTCTACTTTTCTCTGAACTGCAAGAGGGTGTGTGTGAGTGTGTGAGAAACCATGGAGAAGCTTGGGGAGAAACCCTCCAGGACCCAGAGCTTGAGGAGAAACATCCAAGTAAGAGCCTGGCAAAGAAACTCAGGCCAAAGTGTTTTCCCCCCCTGGAGAATCCCACCCTGAAGTGATGGAGCAAGTGGGAGCAGGCAATGCCCATCAGGTGAGCAAGGTAAGGAAAACCCCATGGAGCTCCTTCTTGACTTGAAGCTGCCACCATCTCCTCGAGGTCAGGACTGGACCCAGGTTTCTGTCAGGTGGGTGATGAGCACAGGGCTGCCACTGTCACCACTGCTAAGGAGAAGTGATGTCATTTATTGCTCAGAGGTCTCCATCCTGGCAGCACAGGGAGAGGAGGAACATGCTCAGCACTTTGCTGGGTCTCACCTGAAGGACAGGCAGCTGAGTCCTGCCCAGGTGAACCACCCTCCACCTGGTATTTACCCAGAGCCTGGGAACCTCAGAGGTCCTGGGGTTAGTGAGGTGAGAGGAAGCACCTAACCTGGCAGAAGCAAGTCTTAGCAGGTAAGAATGGATGAAGAAGGTGAGTTCACAGTAAGAGGGATGTTTTTTGAGCACCTGGCTGCAGGGCAGCACTAGGACACCTTGCTCAGAAGCTCTCAGAGAAGGATGAGGCATCTCCAGGTGAGATGAGAGTCTGCATGCAGGGTGGTGCAATGAAAAGGGAGAGGTGATGTAACTTCTCCTGCCTTGGCACGTGAGCTGGACGCCCTGAGAGTCAGCAAGGCCTGCAGCAAGGAGCATGGTGCACAGGAGCAGGTCTTCCTCTTCCAGTGCAGTGTTTTCTTTGTTTTTCAGAGAGAAATGGGCCAAAATGTGCATTTGCCAGGGCTGGGTGTAAAATGCCTCTCCAAGCACTGGGATTTATTCAAGTACAAAGCAGGGGAGTGGCCACCACTGCAGCTGAGGGGGCAGAAAGTGGTCAGAGTGATTTGGGCTGGAACCCCTCTCTCCTGGAAGGGCTTTGGAGACCATCAGCTCTGCAGCTGCTGGGAAGTGATGGAAATGCAGTGTAGAGGGACATCAATTTGCAGCACAAATCTGGCCTGGAGCTGCTGAGCTGAGGCTGCATCAGATCCAGTGAGGCTCTAAATACCAGGAGCACAAAGAAACTGGTAAAGGGAAGGGAGAGAGAGCCTTCCAGAGAGCCCCAACTGCTCTGTTCAAAATGTTACCACCCTGGGCCCAGGGATGGAGTCTTATCACTCTCTCACAGCTCCCTGGAGGTTGTGGTGAGGCAGGGTCTAGTTTCCTTTCCCAAAGAACAAGAGGAAATGGCCTCAAGTTGTGCCAGGGAGGTTTAGATGGGATATCAGGAGAAATTTCTTCCCTAAATGGGTTGTCAGGCCCTGGCCCAGGCTGCCCAGGGCAGGGATGGAGTCCCCATCCCTGGAGGGATTTCAAAGCCATGGAGATATGGTGCTGAGGGACATGGGTTAGTGGTGGCCTTGGCAGGGCTGGGTTAACAGTTGGACTCGGAGATTTTAAAGCTCTTTTCCAACCCCCCAAAACCTCTGTGGTTCAATAAACAGGACAGGGGTAGCAGCAAAAGGCACCTGTCAAATATTTTCATTATCCTGCCTTGCTCTCATTTAGCCTCCAGCAGGATGTGTGTGGCTGGGCTGAAGCATCTGAATGATTGTCCCTGGAGTGGTCCTGGGCCACAGGCTGGGAAATTGGTGTCACCCAGTGCCTTCTTTTTTAAAAAATATAGGGGAAAACAAACAAACCAACCCAGCTTTCCACGCTTGCTTCCTGCTGCCCTAATTTCCCCTGCAAGCACTGGGTTTGTTTTCATCTCCAAGCTGTTGTAGCACATCAAAGGCAGCTTTGTTCACCCTGCCACAGGCAGTGCTGCTCCTCTGGGCTGACCCAGGAGGGGATTTACCATCCCCAGCTCCCCACAGAGCACAGACAGCCCACCTTGGGTTGCCTCTATGTGGGGCTTTAACCCCCCCTGCGACCACCTTTGTTAGAGAAGCACCCAAAGGCCCTGCTGGGATCAGTGGTGGGTGAACTGGGAGCCTGTGGGCAGAAAGCTCCTCACTTTGGGGTGGCTGAGAGGTCAAGGGGGTGCTGGGGGCAGCCCAGGGAGGATGTGACACCCAAGGGACAGCACCTCCTGCATCCATGCCTGTTTGCACCAATCTCTTTGCTCATCTATTCCCAGCCCCCCCCTTCCCCTTCCCCCCAAAAACGAAAAAGAAGCATCAATGCTTCTTTCACAAAAGCACCAGAAGAAAAGCTCTGCCTTCCAGCATTCCCAGCATTCCCAGCCCAGCTCCCCAGATCTCTGGGAAAACTGGTTTGTTTTTTTTTCCTCTCTTCTCTTGCCAAAAGGCTCCAGCAAAACGTGATCTCCTCAGGGAAGGCTTAAGCTCAATTAGGGGTTTTCAAGGAAGGTGGAAACCTTCGTGGAGCAGGGGATGAGCAAATTCTTCCTTGCCCAGCTCAGGGATGGGCTCCACA